CGCTCATCGTCCTCCTGCTACGTGACGACTTCCGGTTAGCCCTGAGCCACGCAGCAGCGTCGGTCATAGACAACGTCGACATCAAAGGTACACACAGGGCCGAAGGCTGAACAAATTCTTAGGGGAGGGGGCCATGGCGGATCCAGGATTTCAAGGAGGGGGTGAGAAACAGGTGGAGGGCTGGGAGTCCTCCCACACAACATTTTGACAATGTAGATAGCAGGAGATGGCATTTGAGGCATTTTTAGGTACATGTACAGCCTTCATTCTGACTACGACAATTCTCTTTTAGTAGAACAATTTATTTTTTTAATTTTGCTTCAAAATCTAGGGGGCAGCTGCCCCCCTTGTCCCCCCTCCCGCAGGCTACGGTCCTGGCCAGATATACCACTCCGATACAATGATTCAATAATGCAATTGCAAAGTGGCACTATATCTATAGTGTCAGAATATCTTTAGTATTTGATTAGCCTTATTATATTTTTATAGCATTATATTGTAAAAGTATGCTATCTCATGGATATAATTACCTAAATAAATAAATTAAAATTAGCTGAATAATTTGCTATATTCGTTATTATGTGAATATCTGGTAAATAGAACCAAACTAAGCTCTCTAGAGTAACTAGACGTACACTAATACGTTTTCTCGCTTTATTCACCGGTTAAAATACTTTGATGTGTTTCAATATAAATAACACCTCGATGGCTATTGATGTGTTTAAAATTCAATCGGGAATGCGTAGGGGAGTGAGTCCGTAACCATCATTAACTCGTGATTGTTTGTTTGTTTGTTTGTTTCTGTTAGGCACGCTTGCGGAAGTCCTTGCTATTGTCGGACTGACAGGATTGGTTACTTGTCTACAGTTACTGCTTCACTACACGTGATTGGACTTACGCGGATATCGTACAATCGAAGATAAAAACTTCATAACCATAACTGCATATAGTCTATTATAGATTATGTGGTTATAACATATATAATTGTATTAAAATGCGTAATACTGCATAAAATTCATGTTTACCTAATCTACGTAATTATGTGTGTGTGTGTGTGTGTGTGTGTGTGTGTGTGTGTGTGTGTGTGTGCGTGTGTGCGTGTGTGCGTGTGTGCGCGCACGTTTGTGTTAATGGAAGCTTGAATACATATATGTACGTAAATTTGTGTTCATGTAGTCACGTACGGTTCATAGAATGCCATATCTCATATGTAAATTTCATTCAATTTTGTGATAGTCACGGAAATATATATGTAGAGTACACCTAGTATATTTGTCTATGATTCTATGATAATGTAGGCACATCCCTACGGATCGAATGATTCGATTTACGGATCGAATGCTTCGATTCACGGATCGAATGATTCGATTCACGGATCAAATGCTTCGATTCACGGATCGAATAATGCGATCCATGAATCGAATCATTCGATCCGTGAAACGAAGTATTCGATCCGTGAATCGAATCATTCAATCCGTGAATCGAATCATTCGATCCGCGAATCACCGCGGCGGTGCGGATAACAGAAAATGTGTTCTTATTCGCACCGCGTTTAATTCGCAGTGCACACGCAAGCAAAAGTTAACTGATAGCCTTGACCACTGAGCTCTATCATAGAATAATATTTTATTTTTATTTTATATTTTATAAATGTTGAAAGGCCAAGGAGTGCCAATATTAGACAGTTAATATGTATGAGCAAGGGAGAAAATAGAGGAAGAGGGACGAGGTATATGAGGAGGAAAGAAGGTGGTACAGGAAGAAGGAGAGAAGGTAGAGGACGAGGGAGAAGGTAGTGAGGAAGGAGGAGGGGCGAAGGAGTGGAGGTAGAAGATATAGAGGACGAGGGAAAAGGTAGTAGAGGAAGAGGGGGAGAAGGGAAGGAGGTAGAAAAGGGGTACATGAAGGAGGTCGAGGAGGAGGGTAGAAGGTAGAAGAGGGAGTAGGTAGAGGATGGTGGGAGAAGACGGTGGAGGTAGAGGAGGGAGAGGATATCCACGTAGCGAAGCTCACCCCTGTACTCGGGATCTGTAAAACAATAATGATGCGGTCAAATAAATCGCACCGTAGTAATGTGTGTAAAGTAGGAAAGTGTGAATATGTATATATATATATATATATATATAACAGGCGGGTGGGTGAGTGGGTGTGGTTAGATGAATCGGTGGTTTATTTCGCTGCCCACTATAACGTAATTTATTTTAAAACTAACTGAAGGAAACAGCGAGGGAGATACGCAGAACTCGCGCCTCCTTCCTCGCGCCTCCATTAGGGAAGAATTTAAATGAGAACTGTACATAAGCGCGCACAGACGGCCCATTCGCCTGTCTTTCAAATATCTTTTATATTAAGCACATTTATCACTGAGCTGTACTTAATTAAATAACAGTGATATTTATAGCATTACATGCGCAAAGCGTTTATCATTACACCATATTAATTATGTTACCTGCAAAAGTGGCGTTGGTAGGCGATAACGGAGAATGAAGAAAAACCGTGCGCATTTCACGAGAGCGCGGGAGAATATGGAGTAGACCAGCGAACAAAGGAAGTCACGTGTACGAGATCTCGCGAGAAAGATACCAGTTTGGACGCTATTCGCTACTCAAAAAACGTAATACGTAATTCATAATACGTCATTGGCCTCGCTAACGGACGCCCCCAATATGGAAAAACGACGTGTTCTTTATATACTATATATTATATGTTTATATGTTATATGTATTATAGCCGTATATTGTGTTGTATTTTGTGCTTCGGGGTGAAAAAGTTTAGGTTGAAAACGGCTATTTGCATGCATAGTTTTCCGTGCTAACGAGGTCGTAGGTGATACCATTAGGGAAAGAGGAGGATGTGAGCTCAGCTAGGATAAACGAGAAACAACAAGAGGTGGTGGGAAGAGATATATATATATAGAGAGAGAAAGGGGAGGGAAAGAGAACGAGAGAGAACGGTGAGAGAAAGGGAGAAAGAAAGTCAGCAAGAGATATATGGAAAGAAAGAGAGAGGGAGAAAGAATTAGTGAGAGAGTGAATGAAAGCGGAAGACGGAGGAAAAAGAGAGAGAAAGAACAAAAACAAAAAAGAAAGAGGGGAGGAGGAAGGAAAGAGGAGCGAAAGGAGGGAGGAATGCGGACGGAGATGTGCCCACGCATGCGCAGTACACACGCGCAGACAAACGCACGTACGGCATAAACGGCACACACATGGGCACGGATGCACATATTCCTTCCAATATAGATACTTCTCTCGCCTTCCCGCTCACCCTCTCCCTCTCCGTGACTCTCTCTCTCTCTCTTCTCTCGCTCGCTCTCTCCTGCTCTCTCTCTCGTCTCATCTCTCTCGTCTCTGCTCTCTATCTCTGTCTGTTCGCCGTCTCTGTCTCTCTCTTTCTCGCAATATTTCTCGTCACACACGCACGCACGCACGCACGCGCGCACGCACGCACGCACACACACACACACATATATATATATAGAGGCTAGTATATATTTAAAAAACACTATTAAATGCATGGTACTTCATTAAGCATTGTACGCGCAGGAAAATTAACAGTTCATATCCGTCTGATACTAGTATATAAACTCGCGCATATATACGTATATATATATATATATATATAGTCAGTAGCAATAAAGAGGATGGTGGTGTGGAATTTCTGCTGAACTATCAGTAGGACATATTTATATGATAAAGTAAGATTATGTTAACTTAATCCAAGAACTAAATTTTCGGTCACAAACATCCGGTCCCACCAGAATCATTCCATGCAGGCAGTGTATCGATATATATATATATACACACACGCACACGCGCACACGCGCACGCGCACGCGCGCACACACACACACACACACACACACACACACACACACAC